CACACACACACACACACACACACACACACACTGACAGGGTCGTTGCAGTATGCGTTTTTGCTGCCTCTTGCAGCGCTCTAGCGCTGCACGGCAAAAACGCACAAAAAAGGTACAAAAATAAAATTGGTTGCGGTTAAAATGCCTGTTGTGTGAATATGTCGATAAGTTTTCTCTGCCTTTAACAGTGATTCAATTCCAAAACTATAAAAATAGGTGGCTGGGGTTTTATGATAATATTCTCAAGTAATTATCAGTGGATTCAGGAAAATGATACCATCTGCACAGAGGCCCTACTTTCCAAAATGTAGACTTGTGCCAATGCGTCAAATGGTAGCAAAACAGGATGCATTTGGAAGATTTAAAAAGTTGCGATTTCTGAGCTGTTGTATTGGTGCATATTATTGGTCACGCATGTTTTTTCCTAAAAGAAGCAATGGCATTTTTTTGTTAGCAGCGTCAAATTCTTAATCAAATTCTTGCACTATGAATTATTTTTGTCCACTGACCTGCTTCCTTAGGCTCAAAATTAAGCTAATGCTGCAAACTCAAAAGAGAACATGTAGAATATCGGGAAATTTTAGACTTTCAGTTGACATGAGCGGTTTAAATCACTATTAAAACGGAGGATTTCCTCCACGACGGCACCTCGAGGACATACTTATTATATAAGAAGCAACGGTTCGCTACTTTTTTAATGCGCCGAATCGATTAAGCAGGATCGATTAAACGTGAGGATGAACCCACTCATGTACTGAAGCATCCATGATCTGTGCGTCCGAAACCCGATTCTTGGGAAAATCAAAAAATGGTGCGCAGTCAAAATTTCTGGCAGAAACATGAAGATATAGCCCTCTGTGTGCGTTCCTTTTTGAAACTGCCTGTGAAATTTCAAATTGCCATCTTTTGTTTCGTCTGGAATTACATTTTTAATTTAAAAATTGTTTAAAAATTGTAAAGTTCTTTGATAGTTTTAACAAAAACACAGGTGCACAATACGGAAGTTGAATTTTATAAAATGGTCCAACGAAGTAATTTCGAAGTTCTCGTTCCTCGATGCTGCGTGCTCGAAAATTCTACTCAGCAGCAGCTGGGTCTGATTATCATGGAAGATTTGGGGGCGGAAGTGCAGCCGATAGCTTCAGACAAAACTCTAACCGCCAGTGAACTATACCAGGTTACATTTTGTTTAAAAAACAGCGGCGAGTAGATTTAATTTACAGGGAAAAAAGAATTATTTACACCCCACCTTTTCAAATTTTACATATATACTATCCCAATATCTTGCTTTGCGGTGTTTGCTGTGCCAATATCGTTGAATATGCGCCGGTCGGAAATCCTTCTACGTACAATATCAGCTTGCGATCGTGTTGCGTACCCAGTTCCTAACTCCGTCTTCACAAGCCGTGCTTGAGTTGCTTCGCCTACCTGAATATTAATCTGAGCCGTAACTACGAAAATAAAATGCATTTCGTTTATCAATGTTTCTTGGTGGCCCATGCAGTAGCTTTCTTCCGCGCTCACCTTGAACCTCCGCCTTTGAGTTATCCCTCTGAGAGCCAGTGTTGCATGGATTTACTAGTAAGGAGGGCTGGATCTTCATGTTGCTGTATATAGAGCAACATGCGAGATTAAGCACCTCCTCAGATGCTCAAATTTGCATATTACTCGCGCTGTCCTGAACTACATCACCACTTCTTAACTCCCATGTTCTATCACACGTGAAAAAAAAAGAAAAACAAAGTATCTTCAGAGACTGGCGTTTTGCTTAAAGAACGACACTGTCTTATAAGCACCGCGATTTCCTTTGAAGAGATGTCTAAATTTTTGCAGATATTCGATGCAATCGCCCAACTGCATGCCGTGTCTTTGAAAACAAATCACTGGAAAACATTAAAATTTCCAAAAATGGCGGACATTTGCAAAAAAAGGAATATTTTAAAGGTCTGCAACTCTCTTTTAAATGCTGTCGTTTCAGGGAACAAAAATGAAAATTTGGTCCTTCACTGTGCTGCCGTTCAGCTCTAGAGCGCTGCAGCAGGCAAAAAAACTCATATTGCAACGACCCTGTCAGTGTGTGTACGTTTGTGTGTATGTGTGTGTTCTCTGCGCGGGTATTTCAACTCGCCAACCATGCAAGCTTTGAGACCGGAATTTAGCGAGTGTGCTTCCCGACCAAGTGCCACCCCAAATTCGCGGTACCAACCCTCGAATACATCTGGGCCCTGCATACGAGCACGTGAAAGTTTTGGCGCGAAATTTGCTAACTTGGGAACGAGAAAAGCTGGAAGGCTGAAACTTTAGGGCAATATTACCTACCCATGTATGACTAAAAGGTTTCAGATTCAGTTGCCTAGGGCTACCCAGGACTCACGTACGGGTACGTGAAAATTTTGGCGGGAATAATCACTAACTCGGGAATGAGAAAAGCTAGAAAGCTGAGAATTTGGGACAATGTTTGCTACTCATGTACGACCAAAATCAACTGTTTAGAAGCGACCGGGATCCATGTACGGACACGTGGAAATTTCGTCAGAAAAATCATTAACTAGGAAATGAGAAGATACAAAAAGTTGAAACTTTGGGGAAGTGTCCCCTGCTCATGTGCGACCAAAATCAGCTGCTTAGAAGTACCCGAGACCCATTTACGAACACGTGAAAGTTTTGACGGTAAAATTGCTAACATAGGAACGCAGAAAGCCAGAAAGCTTAAACTTTAGGGAAATGTTCCCTATTCATGTGCGGCCAAAAGATTTCACATTCAGCTGTCTAAAACCGTCCGGGACACACGTGGGGGCGCGTGAAAATTTTTGCGGCAAAATTGCCTTCGAAAACGAGAAAAGATAGAAAGTTGAAACCTTAGGGTAATGTTCATTATGTACGACCAAGAGATTTTAAATTCAGTTAGTTTGAACAGCCTAGGACTGAAATACGGACACGTGAAATTTTTGGTGAGAAAAATGCTACTCGGGAAATGAGAAAAGCTGGGAGGCTTTAATTTTAAGGGAATGTTCCTTATTCATGTGCGACCAAAAGATTTCAAACTTAACTCTTCTAGTGGGGCCTTTTTCGCGGACCAACAATTTTCCATTTGTCGGGTCACTGAAGTCGACATCCAAAACTGACATGCCACACAGCTGCACAATTAATTTCCCGAACTTCGAGGACCAGTACGTCACTGGACTAGCTACTGTGATTCCTTGCGATCTTGCTACAGCATGAAAAGTGCAAAAACGCACGATCGCATCGGCCCGCTTGGTGCGTTCCAACCTAGGTTTTTTATGGCCAACAAAGGGCCGAAGAATTTCCTTTTCCGGGAACGTATGTATTATTCACGAGCCGTAACTATGTAAATCCCACTGCCATTGGCTATTCACCTCCTGTTGTATTTACTCCTTATGTATCTTATCCGCTGTTGTCCTACACTTCATATAGTTTATATCTTAACACGCCATCTTGCAAACATGATGGCCGTTTATGCAGTCGTGGGGAGGATCACAAGCAACCATAGTGTCACATATTAGTAGATGAATGGAAGGATCACATAATTAGGTGAAGAAATTTGATACGTGCAACGTTAGCAAGGAAACTGATGCTACGACTATCACGCAGCTCCATCATCAGAGATGGGACTTCGATTTAAGCAAAATGGAGATGCTACCAATGGCACCGATGACTCGGAGGTAGGTAGTGGTTTTGTGGTTTTGTTGAGAATGGCCAAAGTATCAGAGCGAACATGTTGCTATTTACATGTGCGACAGTTGTTAGCGCTGTGGTTACAGGCAAGCTTGGTGTAATGGGCTTATCGCTTTCTTCAGGGTGAAGTTGATGCCCATCACATTTAGAATTAAATAAACTAAAAGTTAATCATAAGGAGTGTGACAGTGGCAATCAGCAGTAAGAACTGCGGCAATGGGCAGCTTTTTTCTGTGCACGTAGAACCAAAAAAGTTTGTTATCTGGGATTAACTCATCCTAATATTCAGGAAATGTTGGCATATGTAAAAACACCGGAAGTGATGAGAGACGAGAAGCTAGCAGAATGCATTCACGAAATAGATGAGTTAGCGGATGATATATTTGATTATACGAAAAGAGATGATATATGCGAATTTTTTGGTTTGCCAATTTTGAAAAACTAAACTTTTTGGATAAAGTTTTCAGCAGCGAACCAAACTGAGCAAACTGACAGAAGTCAGAAGTTGCCGAAGAAGAGTTTTGCTTGTCCTGTAGAAGCAGTGCCAAGCTGCAAACATTACCTCAAGCCCTATTTACGGAAACTTAAAGTTATAATCAAGCGCTACTGTAGTGAGCTTATAAATTATCCTATTTGCATCATGAGATTCTTGCGTTTTTACGTCACTGATGAAATACAACGCTCATATTGTCGAAAGGGTGGGAGGTATTTGCTTGGCCTTACCTGTCATTTTCAACTAGCAATTGATGAAGCCAGGAAGTTGAGATTTAATGAGTACTTTCTTATATGTACGGTTCCACAGACATGAAATGTGGGGACTTATATGCTTAAACTAAGTCCTTGGTTACGTCTACATCACGCTTGAGGGCGCGCCGAAAATATTTGTAGCAAAGCAACTTCAGGTCTCAGTCAACTTACGGAAATAAATTCTACAAGGATGTTATGCCCATATGCTACCTGACAATTTTAAATCAAAGCTTGAAAGACGCCTGGGTTTCGCATATATGCAAGTAGAATTTCAGTTTTGAAAAATCTGCGCCCATTTAAATCTTCAGCCTGACTGAGCTGAAAGCCGCAGCTTTGGAGAATTTTTATTGTTCGTGTGCGAGTCTGTAAGCGTAAAACGAGCTTCTGCCTTCGCATGTGTCTGCGCGCGGGCACACAAAGTATTCAAATAACAGCTCTTCCGCCATCCTTTTCTCTTATTAAATAGACAGGCAGGAAAACAGAAATTCTGCGAAACGCTGGCGTATCTTATGCGACACTCGAAACATAAAATGAGCTTTCACAAACGCATACGCATCGCTTCAGACACGCTGGCTTAAAGAGTGCAGAATCGTTTTACGATTATTATACATGCTGGAGGCTGCATTCGTTCAAACTCTGTTCATTTGCGAATTATTACATTTGCCAAAATTTGAAGCTGAGGCCAGAAAATGTAACTGCAGGAATTGTACCCGTTCTTGTTCATGGTGATCTATGGACTGCGAACTTGTTATGGAAAAGGAAGAATAGCGTACATGAACTGACAGCAATCATTGACTGGCAGGTAATTTGACAGTCTCTTTTTTTGCGAGAGTGGGGAATTTGGAACTGCAGTGATTCAGCAAATCTGTCAAAGAATTGGTGGTATTTTAATAAATTTTGCTCATTATATGTTCTACGTTTATCCAGCATTTTCGACTTATAAAGTACTTTGAAGGGCACCAGCTGGTTCCCCAAACTAAACGAGGCGAACCAGCCGTTTTTCTACTTTTATGGGCTCTTGCACCTGCATTCAACTGTTAAATGCAGATGGCCAAAAACGCGAGACGTTTACGATTATGTGCATAAAAATAAATTTTTTTAGACCTGTTCAGAAATTGAGCTACAGTTAAACTCCAGACAGTAGCTGTAGTTTTAGCTGTGATTATAGAGGTGTTCAGGTATGTCATTCCGGATGTGCAGCGGAAGATTTGACGCGGATAATGTGTTGTTCTTTGGATGCACAGGAGCGCCGTTTTTACTGGGAACGGCATATTGATCACTATTATAGACTGCTCACTGACAAACTTGGTCATATACCGCCATTTACTGCTTATCAGGTTCAAAATATTCTCACATTTAAACTTTTTAAAAATATTTAGTGCTCTCGACTTCGTTTATACCCTTTTGTTTCCCTCGTTTTATCTCTCCCATTTCTGAGCTTACACAGTGCTTCAAATATCGCTTCCTTTGTTTCACGTAAATGCTGCATCAATTCTCGTAAAATCTTTTTTTAAAGGACACCACTGAAAAATTTCTTTTGTGAGTGCAGTAGTCAAAAAGAAATCGAAACTCTTTCTTTAGAAAATACAGCCAATTCTTATGGGAGGCAGAGGCATTCGGAAGTAACTCGATTGATAGCATGCGCCAGCAGCAACCAACCTCTAGTAAGGCTGTCGATAACTTGCTTTTCCGAAGGCTGCTTACAAGCAAGCTAATGGTTGATCTGAAATTTTTTAATTAGGAGGGAAAGGTTACAGTTTTTATACGTTTTTTTTGCATCTATGCAATGCAGGAAACGTGTATTGACGAGGGGTTGTTTGTGTGTGTGTGTGTGTGTGTGTGTGTGTGTGTGTGTGTATGTGTGTCTGTACCGATTTTTCATCCCGAAGCCTACAAAAGATGCAGGGCTTTGGGAAATTAATCTACATGCATGTGCGGGACCTCATTCCCAAAATGGGCGCTCCTACCCGCGTGGTTCCCACGTACGGGCCCACCAAAGTTTTGACGGACAAAAAGCTGCTAACCCGGGAACGAGAAAAGCTAAAAAGCAGAAATTGTAAGAGGAATTTCCCCGTCCACTTAGGTCTTAATAAGTTCGAACTCAGCCCCCGATTGTGCGCAGTTCCCACGTACGGGCCCGTGAAAGCTTTTTGCTGGTAAGTTACTAACTCAAGCATCTGAAAAGCCAGAATACTGAAATTTTTAGGGGACGTTTCCGGTCCACGTAGAACTTGGTGGCTTCAATCTCTGTTCCCAGTTACGCGTGGTTCTCACGTACGAGCCAATGAAAATTTTTGGCGGGTAAGCTGCTAACCCGGAGACGAGGAAAGCTAGAAAGCTAAAATTTTAAAGGGGCGTTTCCTGGCAGTCCTGGCAACCAGTCTCAGTTCGCTTAGCCAGAAGCATTTGCTGGAGAAACTTGTGCCGTCAGCAACAAAAACCTGTGGGGAACTATGCAAAAAACGGCAAATACTAAAGCTCGGCTCGGATCGGCTCGGCTCCATCTCGGCCGGCCTCGGTTGCCTCGGCTGCACCTAGGCTCGCCTCGACAGATGCACGAGTTGCCGATTTATTGGCAAACGTGTAGTGGGGGAAGAGGAGGGGGGACAGGAGGAGGGTGGAGGGGGGAGAAGGAAAGACA